AATACCCCTTGTGAGAGTGCTGAGTACACTCTAAAACTTTATCTTTCCCCCTGAATTGTGGACCCTCTTTCTTAGAAAGTTTAGTACACTAGGTCGGTTGGTGTACCCATGGCATATGAATTTTTTGTCTCCCACTCCCTTGTGAGAATATTTAAAATACTCAGATTCACCGAATATGACAAGGGTATGAGTGTGAATGTGTGTCCGACACCGTATTTAATTTGAACACTTCGATTATGTAATTTTTTTTATTATATTTGAGTAAGAACTCACAGTTCTTAGTAATAGAATACTTTTATAGATAAAAGATAGAAATTTCATATTTTTCTCCTAGATCCTATCTAATTTCATATACATTTCTACATAATTTATAATATTACATAATATGTAATATATACACATATATATGTGTGTGTGTCTATGACGCATCCTTGTAACTATATTTAATAGTTAGATACATATTTCAATGTCATAAGACAAGGGTATGAGTGTGAATGTGTGTCCGACACCGTATTTAATTTGAACACTTCGATTACGTAATTTTTTTTTATTATATTTGAATAAGAACTCACAGTTCTTAGTAATAGAATACTTTTATAGATAAAAGATAGAAATTTCATATTTTTCTCCTAGATCCTATCTAATTTCATATACATTTCTACATAATTAATAAATTACTATTGCATATAAAACTACCTCATCACATTCTGACCATGTGATCTAAATCAGCCTACTCCAATTGCCAAATTTTCTTAGTATCTACTATTTCTATACATTACTTTTACATTTTCCTAACTCCCTCTATCTTTGGATATTTATAGACTAGAATAGACTAAGAACTGAAGGGTTCCATTTCTCTAGGGGTCTATCAATCATTAAAGAAGTTACTGAAGCATGAGGATGTTTTAGGATTCTACAAGTAAGTTTAGGATTCTACAAGTGGTGAGCGAATATTATAATCACTTCAAGATTTCATTTAGATTTATTGATTCTATGTATATTTGGTTTTATGACTGTAAAAATCTGACTTTGGATTTATTGATTCTATGTATGTTCATATCGATATCATAATCCAAACATTTATACTAGTAAACAAAGTGGTTATTCTTTTTCTATTGATGCAGAGATGAAGAGTCAGCTGTTTTCACCCTCCATTACCAAGCGAACCACAAAAACTAGGTTTTGGGAGGGGCAACATTAAACCATAATAGCTTAGGCACAAGCAAATTGGATCCATGTTGTCTTCAGCCCACCTTCTGATAGCAGCCACAGAACTTTGAGTTGAGAACATGGAAGCAAGATCAAAGAGTTGAAGAAGAAATATGTTACAAGAAATGTGATCAATATAAAAAGAAATGCTCCTAATTTTAAGGTTTTCATTTCTCTCTCTCTGCTAATCTCTTTATGTAGATATGTGTATTATAGTGCTTGATATGAAGCATATTTCAAGTTTTAGCTATATATAGATCTCATGTGGAAAAAATACATTGGAGACTTCAAATATTTTTAATTTAGTGTTTCTACAAGTCAGGCTAGCAGCCATAGACTATTGTGTTAAATAATAACCAAAAAGCCCATTTATAGTTTATGAGTGCACTATAGAGTTTTATGTGTACTTGAGACATCACAATTTTTCATAACCATTAAAACACTCGACAAGCAAAACAGAGCTAGCAGCAGCAAGCAGAATCAACAGCAGCAAGGCAAGACTCACTCCCACACAGCACCTGGGCAGCTATCAACAGCTAAACTAAAGCAAAACACAAACCAGAATTTATAGACATTAACAGCAGCAGACACGGGACCTGGATAGATTTACACAGCAGATCACATCAACACACTAGCAGAATGTGTAGACAGACCACCAGAGTTAGGCCTAAACCAAGTTCCATGCACGGAGGTGGAAATAAGATCCAACGCGACCGGCTGTGT